ATAAGTGATTCATCATTTTTCACGTGCTTCACATTATAAATCGTAAACAATATTTATCACTAGAAATGAAGCTGAAAAAATTGATAGAATGTTAGAGTTTAGACAATCTAATTGGTTTAAATATATTGATCTAAATATACAAGTGAGAACTAAAACCGCTAATGATTTTGAAAAATAATTTTACAAATTGTTAAATAATTTGTGTTTGGAAATACTATGGAAATATTAGAAAACGAGTTGATATACAATTATGTTCTCATAGAAACAAACTTGAAAAATTAACAGTTAAACCACATTTTAAAAAGGGAGCGATATTTACAGAAATGTTATCCGTCATTCATGTGAATAAAACAAATGTAATATTCAATAAAGCAGATTACGTTGGTATGAGTATTATAAATCTTTCGAAAACGTTGATGTATGATTTCAATCATGGATTCATGAAAACCAAAGTATTATTATACCAAGTTGCTAATTCTCATATTTACGAGACAAAAACAGACGATCTGTTTATGGATATAAAAGAAAATATTAATTTATTTTATATTTCAAACTATCCAAAAAAATATTCTTGTGGTGTTCCGTTAGTAAACAAAAAACTTTTGGGTAAAATGAAAGACGAGAACGATAGTAAAATAATTTCTGAATTTCTAGAGTTCAGGTTTAAGATGTATGTTTTTAAAATTACAAGATGATAACATTTGTAAGAAGTCTAAAGGTGTTAAAATTGTGTTATTAGAAATTGAATTACATTCGACGAATATAAAAAAAAATGTTTATTTAACCATAAAGAAATATATACAAAACTATGAATCTAATAAAAGGTAAAAAGTATGAAACATATTCTGTTCAAATTAACAAGAAAGCACTTGGCTAGAATGATGACATAAGATATATATATATATTATCAGATGATATTAATACTTTAGCGTGGTGTCATTTTTTCTCCTATATAAATGGAAGCAATAAAAAACTTTTAATGCTATTGAAACAGTTCAGTATACCGAAATTCGTAAACTGAGAGAACAAAACCAAAGAGATGAAATTTCTGTTTCTGAATTTAAAATAATTAAAACTCAGTTTGGTTATAGAATTGCTGCTGCGCTAATGGATGACAATTGAAACGAGTTATAAATAGTTTTACCTGATAGATTTATTAAAATGATAACTGAGAAAGAGCTTAAGGCAATGAATGAATTAAAATATCTTACTTTTGTTTATAACGAGCTGAAAGAGTGTAATTAGAAAACTCATATCATTGAATATGAAATTTCATATTAACGTGTGTGTGTGTGTTTTGTAATGATTTTAGGGTATTTTAAAGGGGACCCTTTTTAATATTTTTAATTATTTTAAGTCTTTTAAACTTAAATCCTAGGTTGACATTGTAAATATTAAAGAGTTTTGTTTCAGGATGGTTGTGTGTTAAAAGGACATCTTATATTTTTAATACCCCCAAAGAGTAGAGTGAAGGCGTAGAAACCCCTAGTGGGGAGACACAATTTGAGGCCTGGAGAGCAGGACAACGAAAAAGGTTTTGATTATTGTCATTTGCGATGTTTTTAATGATTTTGAACTATTTTATAATGAGTTTGAACTATCTTTGAAATATTTGGATTATTTTGATGATTTCAAACTATTTTTTTTGCTATTTTTTAATATTTTGTATTTTTAAATTCGTTAACCGTTAAGTGGAGCAGGAACCCCATTATTACACATACTATAAGCAGAAAATGTCTCACTTGGAGTAACTAGGGCAAGACTTAGAGTGTGGTAGCTGGTAATTTTGAGTAGGTAGAAAGTGTTATTGGGCCCATTCTTTATTTCAAGTGTTAGAGCAACTGTTTTTCGTCAGTTCCTTAAACAAAGACTCAAAGGAAATGATGTTATTGAAATACTTCTACCTTTGTCCTTTATACATATCTTGAGAAAAATTTTCTCACTTCACATTGTAACAATTTATTTATATTTGCAGTTTAAATTACTTGCATCTTTTGCCTGAAAACATAAAAAAACTCCTACCCCATTACTTTTGATCCACACACAAAGAACGTTTCAATCATTATTAATTATCAACAGTATAAAATTCCTTCTCCATCTCAAACTTTCAAATGTTATCATTTTTATTCCGTATGATTTGTCAAGCTCAAGCTTTCCCATGCGTCATAACAGTTTGTAATTTCCTTCTTTTTGTATTACAGTAATAGTAATAGTCGATATTTGTTGTATCTGTAGAACTTTCGTAAAACGTTGATAAAACTTTCCTTTCAGTTCATATTCTCAGACGTACGGAATCGACCAATCCCGCAACCAAAAGAAAAGTATTTACTTTTAAATAATTTTCTTTACTTGTAGAAGTGCTAATATACTACACACATTGAAGTGACGTCTACTGCTTGTTTGTTAAACCCCCATACCTCTCTTCAAGTTATATGTATATACAGGCTAGTCCCAAAGTATTAAAATTTTAATTCATAACAAATGTAATTTTCTTAAAAATCAGTATAGAAAAAAGTGGAAGCAGTAATTTCACGATTAAATAAATTTTATATAAACTTCTAATAACTAGAAATCTGCATAAACATTAATCTTTCATTATTATCTTTGAATTATATCTGCATATATATTGTAAGTCTCGTTCTCCCATCTCAACGGATATTTTTTAAAATACCAATCAATAAGTATTTTGTTACATAATAACGCTACCGATTAAAAACTAACATGGATTGATAGGTGTTAAAAACCATTTACTGGAAAATTTGGAAATTTACAGCTCTTAAGTGTGTGATAAGTGAGAGTATATTTAAATGGAATGGAAAACGTCAAAACGCTCATATATGTCCAGGAACATAAACTTTGTCCCACCATCTTTACTCGGTAAATCCCATCCAAGAATGAGCTACAGTACATTATTTCAATAATATTTAAGTCTTAAATCCTGAAATCAGTAATATTTGTCTTTTCCTCTTCCGAGTAAAAATAAAATTTTAATATCCTCTAAAACCTAAAATTCTGTTACCTAAATATAGTGTTTCTATGTAGCTACACAGGCGAGGTTCACCATGTTAGATTAAAATTGTTTTGAAAATCTAATGTAGCTGCTTGTTGCTATATGTGTATTGTTTTCTGTGTTCGTCGGGTATGTTTGCTTGTTTCAGAATAAAAGTACACAATGAGTTATGTGCAGTAAGTTTACCACAGGGTATCGAACCCTGAATTTTAGCGTAAGTTCGTAAATGCACTGCTGATCAACCGAAGGACATTCGTCGAGTAGCCTCTCAAAATGAGCCGTTTAAATGCTCTTCTAACCATAGCAGCCAAGTGATGAATAAATAACCAAAAGTAAAGTTGTATAATAGACAGTATATCCCCAATTAATGTGAAGGGCAGGTCAATGAATCCTTTGTGGAAAGACAGCTGCTGCATGTATTTTACCTATGTTTCTCAATGGCCCGTATGTCAACCTTAACCCCACCCTAGTTCAGATGTACTTGATGTTGCATGGCTAAGTAGACAAAGAGATAGATTAAGAATAATAGGCCCGGCATGGCCAGGTGGTTAGGGCGCTCGACTCGCAATCTGAGGGTCGCGGGTTAGAATCCCCGTCACACCAAACATGCTCGCCCTTTCAGCCGTGGGGCGTTATAATGTGACGGTCAATCCTACTATTCGTTGGTAAAAGAGTAGCCCAATAATTGGCAGTGGGTGGTGATGACTAGCTGCCTTCCCTCTAGTCTTACACTCCTAAATTAGGGACGGCTAGCGCAGATAGCCCTCGTGTAACTTTGCACTAAATTCATAATAAACTAAACCGAACTAAACCCACCAAATGCAAAGCATCACTTACTGCGGATGAAGTCCAGGTTTTGAACAAAACAAAAGATTAAGAATACACGTAATGGAAACACTTTGCGCACTAAGATAACAAAATACACGTTACAGTCTTCTATAAAGTGTGTAATTTATATGTCAAAAATTAAAGATGGAACAAACCACTTAAACCTGTCATTTGTGTGTTATTTATTTAAATTCCAGTTAGGTACAAAATAATCTCAGATAATGATTGTAGAAGTTCTTAAACCTTAGGCTTGTTGTATTACACATGTATGATACAAAATGATATCAGATAATGATTATAGAAATTCTTAAGCCTAAGGCTTGTTGTATTGCACATGTATGATACAAAATGATATCAGATAATGATTATAGAAATTCTTAAGCCTAAGGCTTGTTGTATTGCACATGTATGCACTTTGTTCGAAATTATACTTCGGGTTTACGATGTAGGAGCGAATGTGTGATATAAATATTTAGAGTATTAACGTTTGATACATCACCCCAATTTTAAATGTTTCGTTACTACTGTTATTATTTTTTTCATTTCGAATTATTAACATCAAAATTTAGATTCTTTTAATCAAGAAAACATTGCCGATATTATATGAAATACTGAACGTTTAACTATATTTTTTAACACTATATTACATGCCAAAATCTTTTTCAAGTTGTGCATATATAGGTTATTTTAACTCAGTTCAACTTATGAGATTCCTACTGATTTGATTACATTAACAATTTAGATTAGTTTTATTCAGATAAAAGCTGCTATGACACTATAGTATGTACTGCGTGAGGAGGTGACCGTGTCCTTTATTTTCAGAAGTACATTAGTTGGATCTGATAACTTTTCTGGGAAGGTTTTATGTAACTAGTAAACCTGAGGATTATAATGCTGCTAAGTACTGCTTTTAGCTTCAGTCAACAACTTGAGTTTCAACAAAACGTGTACGTGCTGTAAATATATAAATATATATATATATATATATAAAACTGACATTTATTCATACATGTACATAATTAGTATCGTTCGTTTTCATTCAAAACTTAATAAAACTTCAACATCAACCGTTAAAAGTTGATCAAGTAGATTAGAATAAGTGTTGATTTTCCCTGTACCTTGTCAGTTACTTAGGCAACCAAAGAATACATTATTTATGTTTATTTAAAGAACTGTACACTGTTGATTTGAATTCTGTATCAAAAACTGTGAATCATAATACAGTGCTTACCATACAATAAAGAAATCGTTGTATTAATTATTCAGTGTATTAATAGCACTTTAACATAAATAACTTCGAATCATATAAATATGCACATCAGGTTGACAGTGTCAAATGACACTTCATAAGTAAGGCTAAGAAATAATAATCTAAAATAGAAGAATAAAGTTTCCAACGCTGATGAATCGCTTATAGAAGTAAATACCGTTAATATGATGAATCGCCTATAGAAGTAAATATCGTTAATATGATGAATCACTTACAGAAGTAAATATCGTTAATTGTTCATAAACATTGTAAAAATCCTATAGGTTTTAAAGGACCAAATGCACCGACTAGTTCATGAAAATGCTTAAAGGAGATGTTTGAGAAATACAAAATTTACATAATGAGATTATAAAAACTGATGAAGAAAATGAAGAATTTAGAAATAATAGTATTTGTTATATCAGTGATAAGGTAATCATAACCAAATTCAGTTATAAAAATACAGAAAAAATACAATACAATATTTACTGGAAGATAAGTTCTCTTGTAATAAGAAAAGGAGCCTATCTCTAAAATTATATGGACACATTTCATAAATGTAATGAAACACAATCAGCACTAAAAGAAACTCATTATAGTATATTGAACTAATGCAATATATCGGATGATAACTACAAACATGCTTTAAACATTTCGAAAGAGTTTAAGATACAAAACATGAAAAAATTTTCTGATCTTTATGCAAAGATTGATGTTCTGATATTTTCGAAAACTTTAGAGATGTTGTTTGAAAACATATAAATTAGACCCTGCCTGGTACTACACAGCACTCTGTCATAGGATATTAAAATGATAACTGAGAAAGAGCTTAAGGCAATGAATGAATTAAAATATCTTACTTTTGTTTATAACGAGCTGAAAGAGTGTAATTAGAGTGTAAAAATGAGTGATGTTGAATTGTAATTATTGGCTGAATATAATATGATCTTAATGCTTGAGAAAGGTATTTTAGTGTTGTGATAGATACAGCCAAACCAGTAATAAATATTATGATGGTAATAAAGAATCTATTTATTTAGCTTATCCAGATGCTAATAACATATATGGGTGGACATTGAAACACTATTTACCCTATGGAGGATTTAAATGGAGTGATACAAATATTGATGTATTGAAAATACTTAATGATTCTGAAATAGATTGTATTTTAGAAGCAGGTTTGAACTCTCCAAAACAGCTACATGACTATCATTCAGATATATATACCTGTAGCATCAGTTAAGAGAATAGCGAGAAAAGAAATAAAATTATTGATAACTTTATATGATAACGAAAAATTTGATATGTAGGTATGTTTGATATCTGAAGGCAGTTCGACGGTCATGCTAGGGTTAATGGCTTTACGGATACCTTTGACTCTCGTGCCCGTAACAATGCTATGTGTTAGCCATGACAACGAAACTTATCACGAGTTTTTAGCAATAGTTAGCAAATCCACCGAACAACGATCGCATCATAAGGCATGAAAGCCAATTAAAGTTTCCGTTATTTTTTAAACAATCGAATCTTACTTGTGCGTTATTCCATTACAAGTTCTAAAAACCGTATTTCCATTACAAAAAGATTCGTCGTCGGTGATTTGACCTCAGTTAAAAAAAAACACAAAAACACGTTTGCTCGTGGTTCCGAAGTAAAGTGTGTTGGGAAAACGTGATGTTTCTAGCTTGTTACTGTTGTATTAAATTGGTTGACTAGTTCGCATGGCCTAATGGTAATGTGCTGGGCTGTAGAAAGCAAAGTCTAAGGTTGAAGTCACGTTATGCTACTAAACACACTCCTCAACATCACCTCTAACGGACAATATAACTACTAGTCAATCGTGTTATTCTGTTAAGAGTAAACACATAGGCGGTGGGTGCTGCAGGTCACCAGTTCTAAATTAGATATGGCTATGGCTGAACTTAGCCACCTGTCTGATAAAATCTACGGAAGGACGAATGATAGAGACAACAGAAAACATAAGTAAAATAGCAAATATTCTGGGCTTCGAAAATTAGTTACAAGAAAACAGAAGTCGTTGAATTTGGATCAAAAACGTGTAAGACTAGTGGTCCATCTTGCTATTGAAGTGATCATTAAGGTAGTTGATAGATTTGTATATTTTTGAGCCCGACATCAGTATACAGACAGAAATAGTTTAAAGAATGGAGAAAGCCGAGTTCAGAACATATGAAAGGATATAAATATCACTTTGAAGACCAAATTTACTTATAACTCGTGCATATTATCCATACTAAATTAATGGAGCAGAAACTTGGAGCATAACTGAAAAACAATAATTAAAACTTGATGCCTTTGATTTGAGATGCTTACGAAAAATAGCTAGAATTTACTACACCAAAATTTCGATAACAAAACTGCCAGAGAAATTACATTATTATCAGAGAAAATATATTAAGATGATACGGGCACTGAATAAGAATAAATGACAAAAGAATATTGAAAATACTTTATAAATGGACCAGAAAAGAGGAGGTAAAAGCTACTAACTGGGGCACTAAGTCTAACTACAGATAAACGCTAAAGATGACCTAAACGCTTAGCCAATGTGCCGCATAAGGTGCTATTCAGGTTGAACAAATTTAACCTGGGATGAACAATAACCTCTACAGTAATTTATGCTATAATGTTTTGGAATATAGTTTTATTTTAACGTACCTAAGTTAGCGACCAATTTAGACAGAGTTTGCATTTGAACAAGTGAAATTCTAATATCCAGCATGGCCTGTGTTATAAGTAACAATTTAAATTTTCACAGCTCACAAAATTATTTGGATGTGTATCACGAAAGAAATGAATGATGTAAACTGTACCTCATTGTGTTAGTTATTCGATTGTACTGGATAAAAAAAAATCGCACTTTCTATACATATGTACGAACATTAAATTCTTTTAACGTTTTACAAACACAGGCAATATGATGTCACCCTAGCAGTATCAACTAAAGGAACTTTCACTGTTGTAGAGTTGATAGTTAACTCAAATGTGCAAATAGTATATGTTCTGGTAAAAGAACGAATAATCTTAAGTACGTAATTCTTCTTACAGTATTTCACTAGAAATTATTTTATCATTTTTCGTTTAACAAAGGGTTCTTACTTCACAGATGACGCTGATTATAAGACCAGGGGTCAGTCAAGGAAGTCCAAATTCAGGTAAATTAAATAAAATCTTAATGTATTTCGTGTAAAAAACAAACGTAAGATAGTTTCGCTTTAATAAAGTTTTTGTTCAAAACTAGATAAACAGAGTAAACTTTGTAATTGTGAACTACTATAGTTCATTTTATCTATACTTTAATTATTTTGGATTATAAAATTAGTTTTTTTATTATTATTATGTTGCCCTGGTTATTGTTGACGAGTAATTAAAATGATTAATAAACGAATTTTTTTCTAATAAGAGTAATAACTTTTACTCTGAAGGACGACACATGACTTGCAAACATGTATTGGTAATCTGTGGAGAAACTTCCTACACCACTTTTGGAATTTGAGAGATATTTATGTCATTCAGACATTTGCTTGCACTCCTTTCTTTCCTTTCGCAACAACAGAGCGTTTGAGTTTTTTTTAGAATTATCACATATTTTAATGTATACCTTCGCACGATGAAAAAAAAACAAAACCAAGTGTTAAAATCTAGCTGAAAAACAAAAATAGTATCAAAAACCAAAGGAAAATATAAAAAATTGCTTCTCACACATTAAAACGTATGAAAGTTATTGGATTACGTTCTCTATCTGTGCTGATGAAAGTTGGAACGTGGGTTGAAACTACAGTTTTCAGCTGGCCATGATCTGGAATTTGTTTTCCAGTATGAACGCGTTTGTTTCCTTTTTTGAAAGTCCTCTTTTAAAAGCACATTTCACAAACTAATTATTAAACACTTTTGAACACTCTCCAGTTTTCATTTATGTCCACATTTTAAATGTTGAATAAAATTGTATTCTACACCGTTTCTTTTCGAGAAACGATAGTTCATGAGAAAGAATGAGCACACACATGCAAGGAGTCTGATAAGTACAGCACTGAACATTTCTACGAAGACCTCTGAATAAGGTTGTGAATAATGAGATTTTAGATAAGTGGATCCTAGCTAGAACGTATGTATTTTTAGTTTTCAGTTTTGTCAGGTTTTGTAAGGCCAGATTCTTTACAGTAGGTGTCTGTGACTTGTTGATAATAAATTTCAACAATAAATGGACAGCACACAATCCACTTGTTTGATAAGTCAAACATATGTACAAAAATTCGTTACACTATTGTTTACCACAGTTGAATCTAGAGCTTTATATAATTCTTTTTTTCGTCACAAGTCTACACAGGCTGGTACAATTTCTTTAAAATCCAATTGACAAAACGAATTATTCTTCCCTATCTCAGTTCTTACAGGACAAGCTGTGAAAGTCACTCAAAAATCACCACTATAACTGTTGGTTACCACAGTTGCACCCAGAGCTTTAAATCATTGTCTCCTTTTCGTCAAAGTCCACACAGGCAGGTTCTATTATTGTAGAACACACTTTGGCAAGTCAAATTCTTCTTCTTTAGCTCTGTTGTTACAATACAAACTGTGAAATTCTCACTTTATAAATTGTTTGTTAGGGCTGAACTGACAATCACGCAGTCTAACTTCACTTTCACTAACTTACTTCTTACTTGAACTCTGTATCTGCATGTATTTATAATACGCGACTGAAATATCTAGCCCTCTAATAACAACAATATTAAACATAACGAGAAAGACATAAAAGCTTCGAGTAAGATGACGTCAACAATTACTAAAGCCTAGTACAACAATTAAACTAATTCACAACGTACTACGCCTACAGAGTTACATAACGAAACTTGTCATAACTATCGCTTGTCATACACTAAATAATAATTAAATACCAAATAAACTAAATAATAATTATTAAACTGGAACATTCTTGTATATCCAACAAGTCTTTTTTAATTTAGTTGTGTGTATTAAACATATTACCATCTATATTTTAATACTTAATAAATACTTTCGTTAATTGAATTTTAATGACAGACACAGTACAACACTTAAGATATTGCCTCTCGCATTATTTCCAAAGAATTCTTTAATATTTGCTGAATTTTTTAATACTCTGCTTGCTCATTAGTTTGTATATGAAACTGTTAACAGTTCGTTTTTCAAATCTTTTTTCAAAGAGCTAGCTACGATATGAAACGTACATTTCTCACTTACGTGTACTCCTTAAAAAAAACAACAAATTTTGTTACAACTATTACTGGTGTTTTCTGGCTCCTTTTGCCGCCAGGAGGGTTTCATAAACCGGTCCTTCCCTCCCACACGTGACCTCACTAACCAACTACAGTAAGAAGCGCCCACAGTTTGACCAGGGATTTGGAGGCCACACCTGTTACGAATCTGTGGGCAAAAGCCTACTTGAGTTATAAGTCTAGTCTCGATACGTTAGCTTTTATGATTGGCTAATATCTTTTACTGAGAACTTACCCCTAGTTCATTTTGACCATACATTATGAACTGTAGCTGTTTGAATTCTCACTTAAAACAGCTATACGTACGCAGTGTCTAGACAAACAGGTCGTAAAACAGTTGAGAATAAACGTAATTCTTGTGTAGTTGGCTTTTTCGGATCTACCAGAAAACGGCCTTGGTCTAGTCGACCGTAAAGATAAGCGTGACTGGAATCTGGAGTTTGGCTACAAGCCGAATACCTTCCATTTGCCACTATTTCCACCAGGAGGCAGATGTTCAAGGACGACATTGATCACTTTGTTCGTATGCAGCACAAATAAATAAATGTCAAGAAAGATAAATACATTTGAGCTAAACATGTGGCTTAAGATTGTCATTTGTATTCATTAATCGCTATGTTTCAATACTAGCTTTAATATATGCTTATTCATCTTGTTTTTTTTCGAAGATTTTAAGAACAGGTTTGGTTGTGGGTACTTTTTTACTTTTGTATATCTAAATATGCTCACAAAATATTTGGAATTGGTACCGGCGGGATGCCTTTATTTCCGGTTGATATAAGGTAAAATACCTTATGTAGGCGCTACCGAGAAGAACATTTCTGTTAGAGACTGTAGCCTATTCATAAAGAAGACGGATGTGATGAAAACACAGAAATTCTTGTGTATGTCTTACGTAAAGCACCGTGATGACGTTAGCATCAGAAACTTGTGCTGTGTGTATTGTGTATCAACAGCTTCAAAACAATATTAGATACTATATAGTAGTAGAAAAGTACTTTGTTAGTTTTAGTTTTTATGTGAGTGGCAAGTGTGTTAGTTTTTCACTTATATTGGGCATAACATATTATATAACTCCACAGGAATATTTACACTCAGTTAGAAAACAAAATCCCCTAGGATAAGTGTTGTTTGCGAGAAGGAAGGTTTGTATTAGCTGGGTAGTTAAAAAGCTTCTCACAGCGGAAGTTATTGCGTTAACAAGTACAGATGTGTGATAACTGAAAAGTTAGAAAATGTCTTAGTAAGAATAGCTTTTGTGTTAACACGACAGGTGATGATACCTGGGTGGTTTGAGTAATTGGAAAAACTCTCAGTAATGGTTTCTTAGTATTACTATGAGTAGCTATTAGGTTAATACGCCAAGTCTTGTTGTGTGTGATATCTGACCAGTTTTAGTAATTAGAAAGTCCCTTATTAGGAGTAACTTTTGGACACGACAGACATGTTGTTGCCGATCAGAATGAATAAGTAGAAGTAGCATGTGTAATGGGTTTCTGTAAAATGTTAAACACGAGAAATACAAAAAACAAAAACCAGAAATAGCCACAAATCATCATAAATTAGTTCAAAATGATCCGAAATCATTAACCTTTGTTTTCTTTGTCTTGCTCTTCAGGTCTCCATTTCACCCCTTTAAAACACAACCCCACTTAGAAGCTCAAAACCGACAAAAATATTGAAGAATTTTTTTTAATGGAAAAAGACATCGAAAAATGTGTTTAAAATGTAAAAATTTCGAAAAATAACCCGAACCGTTAAACAATGTAAAATGCACATATTCTACATATCAATTAAAATAACCCTAACAACTTAATAACTGTTAACTAGTTAAGTTTTGACTACTTCCTTATTTCATTACTCGGAAATATTTATCAATCTAAAAATTGTTTGTATTTTTAAGTTCGTTTGTTTTTAGAGTAAAGCCACATTGGATTATCTGCTGTGTCTACCGGGGGAATACAACCCCGAATTTTAACGTTGTAAGTCCGTTAACTTCCCGCTGTCCCCCCAGAGAACAATATTCCTAAGTATGTATCACTGTCAATATCATCAGGAAGCCATGCAGATAACACTGTCTTATAATTTTTTTAGCTCAACTTGTACTTGAATTTATAGATCAGAGTATCTTACTTATAATTTAACTGATAGTTAAAAGTAACTAACTTATAGTTAAATAAATGATAGAGATTAAAGATTATACAGAACCAGAAGAGTTTAAAGATTCTAATCAAAATCCTTTACTACCAAGACATTCATTTAGACTTTTAATTGTTGGTCCATCTGGTTGTGAAAAAACTAATTTATTGTTAAATTCAATCTATGGCCAATTAAACTATGATAACCTATAGTCATGTGCAAAAGGTTTAGAATAACCTAACTATGAAAAGTTACAAGAGAACTTTATAAACTTTGCTGATATAGATGTATATGACTTACAATCTATCACAAAAAATAATAATAAAGATAAATTTATAGAATTATATACAAATTTTAAAAAAGAAATATTATTCTCTAATAAATTAAATGATATGATTGACGTTGATTGCTTAGATTCAGTGAACAAAAATCTTATTATCTTTAATGATTTCCAAAAAGGAACAAGAGAAAATAGTTGACTTTTTTATAAGAGGAAGAAATAAAATTGCACCAATAATTTATTTATTGCAGTCTTACTATTCAACTCACATTACCATCAGAAGTAACTGTAATTATTTTATATTTTATAAACTTCAAGATAGAAAAATAAAACAGATCATTAGATAAATTGATATATCTAAGAGTGTTAATGAATTTAAACAAATATATAAGGAAACTGTTAAAATATTTATTATTAAATACTAAATGTCTTGAAATGAGATATAGAAAGAATTTTAATCTGTGATAAATAATGAAGGAAT